AAAAAAACTATATAAAAAGAAAAAATGGTCTATTGATATTGAATATAGGTAGATGGTAAGAGCAATAAATAATTCAAAAGAAGATTTGTATGGAGCTTGTTTAAATATCAAGGTGATGATAAGAGATGTTATTCATAAATAAATAAAAAATTATACAAGATATGTCTATATATTTTATTATATTAGAATAATCATATAATATTGCTACACAAATAGAAAAAAAGATAATGGATGATGGTTCAATTTATGTAATGATATGAAATAAAAGAATATGTGGATAAATATAAAGCGGAGGTGAACACAAAATACAAGACCACTACAAAGAAGGTTAAACTAGTGGCAATGCTACTACCATCAGATTTTGAAGAAAGGATTAAGAAGGCTTCTATGCAATCCAATTTAAAAGATCCAAGAAAAATAGGTTATAAATTTAAGGATGAATTGACATTAGATAGTTTTAAAGTTGGATGTGAAGAATTTTTAACAAAGAATGAAGATGGATGTTTCAAAGAAATATTTTTATGACATGGTAAGGCATTTGGATTTGAATCACATGAAATAAGATAAGTTAAAGTAAGTATTATAGCACCTATGGTTATTTTCACAATTCCACATCAACCATAGAATTTGAGGCCAATTCTAATTTTAAAGGCTCATTTGTCAAAGCTAGTTGAATTACTCAATAAAAAGATTGAGATAGAAATTTTAGAAATATCTATTATATCATATTTCAATCAATAGTTCACATTATCTAAAAAATAATAGAATATTAAGATTTATTCAAGATATGCAACTAGTAAATAAAGTAATTATTAAAAATATGGATTCAAATCTATTTGTGGATGAATTTGCAAAGGCATTTGCAAGGAGAGAAATTTATTCTATGATGGATCTTTATTTAAGATATGATCAATTTTAATTGACAATATAAAATAGATATTTGAAAATTATAAAGACATCATTAGGATTGCTCAGAATATGTACCTTATCAAAGAGGGCTACAAATTTTGAGGTTCACATGTTGAATAGAATGCATAATGTATTAAAAAAATTATTTTGAGTATGATAATGTCTTTCTTAGATGATTTTTTAATTAAGAAATATAAAGAAAAAAAATTAAAACTTTAGATTAAAAAAAAAATAGAAAGTTTGTGGTAGATCATATTAATAATTAAAAGTTGATTTTAGCAAAAAATACTTTAAGAAGACAAAAATTAATCTTCAAAGAGGACTAATTGTCAACATAGATCAAAATCAAATTCTAAGATATAAAATCATATACCTATAGTTACTCCAAAGTTCTTTTGAAAATCAAAGAGTAGAATTTGAAAGAAAACTTTATAAGATTTTTTGAAGCATTGGTTTCAATTGATTTGAATTTGAAATATCTTTTTAAGAACTTTGCAAAGTCAAGGTTGTTTTGGATGATTTTGAATTTTATAAAATAAAATAGAATTTATAATTTAGATAATTTCATAAGTTTTAAAGTAGATCCATAAATAAAAAAATTTAGGATTATGAGTATAGTTGTACTTAACATATATTATAAATTTAAACTTAATCAAATAATTAAATTAGATGTTATTGAATTTTAAGTAGATTAAAATCTTAGAAATTGGATTTTTAAGTCTAATAAGATTATATAAAATTTGTAATGATATATTAGTTGAATTGAAGTGATTTTTATTAGAGCTAATAGTAGACTTGATTTTCAATATTTCTGCAAAATTTGAAAGTAATTAAATAATTCAATTAGGAATTATTGTTGCTAGAAGATCAATATTAAGGTCAAAGATGGAGGCCAATTGACTCTTAAGTGGATTATGACGTTTTTTTTCATTTTGTGAATTCAATTCTCTTTAAATTTACTATATTTATTATTGACTAAGAAATTAAGACGTGTATATAATTTTAAATAAGATCAATGGTTTAGTAAATAGATATTGAGATTTTAAGACTATCTTAGGATTAATTTGAATTATTTAGATTTTAATTAAGATTTATTTAGGAAGTAATTAGAATTTGATTTAGAATTTAGGTTTTAATTAGGATTTAGTTCAAGATTGATTTAGGATTTAAGATTTCTTTAGAGTTTTTTTAGAATTTCTTTTGGATTTTTTTAGATTCTTTTTAGGATTTCATAAAGATTTTTTTTAAGTTTCTTGTCGATTTCTTTTAAATTTCTTTAGAATTTTTTTAGATTTTTTTTTTATGATTTTTTTAGAAGTTCTTTAGGATTTTTTCGTATTTTTTTTATAATTTATTTGAAAATTTAATTGGACTTTATCAATGTTTGATTATGTTTCTTAAGTTTTAATTATAATTTATATATGATTCTATTAGAATTGTTAGGACTTCTTATTGCAAATTTCTTTTACCTTCCATAATGTCCAATGCATTCTCAAGTAAGACTTCACATAATATGACAGCATCAAACTCATTAAATAAGGTGGTGAGTAACTTATCCTATAGCCAAGACATCATTGTCAAAACCACAACAGTACCAAGAATTTAGGTAGGACACTAAGAGGACTAGGGTGAGTATACATAGCTAGATAGATTCTCTCCAATTGTCATTGATTTCTTGGCTTAGAATTCCTACTAACACATACATATACATATAATGCTCAGTTCATTCGATTCTTGTTACAACACCATCTTGTTATATTGTTGTGTAATTGAAGATGTGAAGACATTTGCTTGGAAGATAACCGGTGGACATGTCCTTTCCATTGTTCAAAAAAGAGGGCAATAAATGCTACTTGGTGTGGATCTTACCATTTTTGCCGTAGAACTCAGATTAGCCAGTGCTTCCCCCACAATAACCTTCCGAAAGTACTTTCTTGCTTCTGTGGGCATGAACAACCACATTACCATCTACCACAGCACCATCAACCAAGTTACGCAGCGAAGACATGTTTTTACAACCTACACCAAGAAGGCTCTCTGAGTCATGCTGATCAATCCCTTCAAATTGGTATTTTCTACAAACCTTTGCATCCAGCGTAATGACTCAACATTACCACCATTGCTTCTCAAAAACAAAATTCATGTATTGCGGCCAGTATTCATGTCAATAAGGTCTCTTGCTGGATTGCTTGACCAGCTGGAGGAATTCAGCGTCGAGAAGGCTGCACAGAGCAGTGACTCTATCTGCAACGGCCAAGGAACTAACGCTCATACCAAAATGCTGAATTCTCAACTGCGCCACGCAAGAACCATGAATTGATGTGCTTGTCAGAAATTCGAGCAACAGCGGACAATACGTTCAAAATAGAGGATTCCCTTACACCCTCACAGAAATCCGCCACCCCTCCTGAGAAAATTAAGGTAATCTGAGAATGTCGCAACCCTGACTGAAGTTATACAATGTCGTGACAACTGTGAAGCATTGCAACCTCTACGTGCAGAGCTCAATTCTCTAGATCAGAATTCAGCAGAGATTTCTCTCTTCAGGCTTGCATGCAATCTGGGTTCAAAAGCTAACCAACTTCATCACTCAACAGCTACACTAGGAGCTACCAAAGGCTAGCTAAGAATACGCAAGCACAAGACAACTAAAAGCTTCTTAACTACGTACGCCCATTTTCTACGATCTTACTCCTGCAGCAAATAAAAAGATTAGACTCCACAGATTACTGGGAGGGAAAGAAAAAAACAGGGTTCAGAAACGAAGAGACACAACCTTGGTCGCAGTCAGCTGGTAGTCATGTTGCTTCGCTACTACCACGAAACATAGTCTTTCCAAGTGCGAGAAAAATCAAAACCACTGCCAGAGTCCCATAACAGTGCACACAGCAGAGATTTTCCTACCACAACAATTCCGATACTTACTCGACCTTCGCTGCGACAGTCTGAACTGCAAAGATGATCGGTGTCACGTGTGTTGCTCTACCATGTTCACTCACGCTTTTGCTGGTGTCCAAGACGAACACCAACTCAAAACAACAACTGGACAGCAAAACCAATGACTCAACAGCATGTCTTTTGATGTCTCAGACGACTAATCCTTCAGTTAATCATAGACGCATCTAAAGATACCATATACTGCATGTCTCCATCGACGCTGTCTCAGTTTAGGTGAATTGCACTAAAGCGACACCAGCACCATGTCTCTCTTCCCGACTTCCGTGGTCAGCCACTGCATAATGTGGGGTACCACAGGATCTTGATGGGCAGTGTTATACAGAATGATGTGCATTATGGCGATGGCCTTCACGTCGAAGAACAAAAGCGGGCATACATCTTGGGAACTATTAATTTCTAGACGTGGAGGTTTTGATATTGTACATCTTTCAGAATGAAGGATCGATGGTAAACTTGCAGTCAGGTGGAGATCTATACAGCGAGTGCTGAGAGTGTACTGGTTGTAAGGAAGTAGACAAACAAGTTGAAATTCTGGCAGGACTTTGAGAGCGGTTTTAGTTAAATGGATTGCCACAGTATATTTTGGGGCTACCAATGTGATTGACGGAATGAGAATAATGTCTAGAGAATTTCAATCCTTAATACAAATGAGAAAAAAAAAATATCATATTGTTTCTTTCATATGAATGTTGAGAAAAATTATAAGAGAAAGTCAATGACAACACACATATTTTACACCGCTTACGCTTTCTAACGTCAACGTCACATACCCACAACTTCAATTTTTTTTAGTTTGAATTTACAAGAAACTCTACTCCAGTGAAGCAGGCAAGATATTATTGCAAAAGGATACTAAATATGTAAGCTTGTCGATTAGTGATACTTGTAATTTACGGTAATACGTTTGCTTCTTCGAATCAATTTTTATTCTGGACAATTAAATGTCTAATTCACTTACAACTTTTAGTTCGTGTTAATGCACGAGTTTAAGCATGTGTCGTTGGGCACACGGACGGAACTAAAAACAAAATGCGAAGTTGGAATCTACATCTCGTGTCTGTATTTAGAGCGAAATATCCAACGCCGCTCCAAGTTCAGAGGGGAAAGGGCTCATTTGTAAGTGTACTCCAAAGTCCAAATCAGTCTTTGCACCTTAAATAAATACCTCCAATCTTCCGTGTCCTACAATCAGAAAGATTACGTGTGCTCTCATTGCATACGTGAACAAGAAGCCCCTACTGGAACATGGACAGTTGATGAAAATGTGTGAAAGAGAACTACATCATTATCATCAACGAATATCTTGAGATGGAGACCATCCTAGCTGAAGTGTTTTAGAAATGTGTACACCAAAAACTAGAGAGACATTATGCTTTTGACCGTATTGTAATTGCTAGTGAGTGATATAAAGTAACACCGCTAGCAGGGAAAAGCCCCATGTCAACTCTAATTATCCTAATGCCTTCTATTTTTTTAAGTCTCTACAACTGATAATTCGAAGGTACCAAAGAGGCGAGCCTTCCGTGAACATTTTTCCGTTTAAAATGCAACACTCATCAACACTCATCATCTCGATCCAAACAATTACTCATGGTTCAGTCTACGGCAAGACGATGCACCAACATCACCCAATGAGAAGTGAGGTGGATCTAGCTACCCACAGAAGTTTGCTCGTAAGGGGGCATGACCTTCGTACATCAACATCTACAAGAATCTCCGTCACTCATTCCTGCGTGCACGAGACAAGGGAATACATATATTAAGACTGCTCATGATTTAAAACTTCACTTGAACTTTTATGCCTTCAAATTATAGAACTAACAGCATAAGAAACAGTAAGCCTGACGTCAAAAGTCCAGAAGGGAAAGTACCTCCTCCATTGCCGTGATCTCTTCTGATTGCTGGGTACTTGGAGGAACGTCAATGTTTGAATCTGTCGTAGATTTTCGTGAACCATCTTCTCCGGGAAGCACAATGTCAGAGGGCAACTGCCCAAGCTTTAGAGCCTGCAAAAGAAAAATAAGATCTCAATGCATGCACAATGTGCCAAATAAAAATTCACCACGGCATAACTGAATGTTGTGAACTTAATGATTGAACTAAAATCAAGTAAAAAGTAAAAGGAAACTCAATTTCCTAAAATATACCGAGCAGTAGTACCTTTTCAAGCCTGGCGACCTCTTCAAGCGTCTGAGAATTTGCAATAGCGGTCTGAATCACAAGTACAGAGAAAGTTCTTTTCAGACAGAGTCCTTTTCAAAATACTGAAGAGTAAACACGGCAACACCTGACATATGATGCTAGAAGTTGACCAAGAAGAATTATTCATTCATGATAGAACGTAATGCAAACTAGTGAAAGCACAGGATCTCTGAATTTTTGCAGTGAACATGATCCAAGCTACGAGGAAACAAATATTAAGTTGGAACTGCAATACCTTGATAGCTATAATTTGCTCTGGAGTTGGTCCTTTTCGAGAAGGTTCCTCCACTTCGACAGGGGTAGCCTCAAGAGAATCCTCACTGGGAATTTCTCCAGGTACAAAAGTCTTAGCTGGGGGAGGAGGTGGAGCTTTGGCAGGAGCACCATTTTCAGTTGCAAATAGTTTCTTAGCTTCTTGCCTCTCCTGCAGCACAGAAAGTAAAACTTGTAAAAAGTTGAGAACGCAGTTGGAAAAACTACGACACAGTCAAAAGAAGCTTTCTTAATTAGAGTATGAGGTAGTCTGTGTATACATATCGACATATCCATTTAAGACAGACCAAGGTTCCTCAATATGCTGATTCCAAAACAAGCTCCGTCACCCTCCAGCTGAGGAACCCAATTCCACCAATAGAGCTCCCTGCACTCCACACAATAAGTGACTCGAATCAAATTAACTCACCTTTTTAATTCCCTTCGATCAAGTGACTTGATAGCTACAAGACCAACGTCTCGATCTAAAGTTCAACTGAAGCAACTACTCCAATCAGAGGATGAAAACCGATGGATCAAATGTACCTTTAGCTTCACTTTCTTGAAGTCGAGAAGTCGGAGCTTGGGTAGCTTGTGTATCAGATGCAACCGGTAGTTTGGCCTCTTCGTCACAACGTTATCCAGCAGGCACAGATTCAGCAGATTCCCAAGTGTCGCGAGATGGTCAAGGTCCACCAGATTTGAGAGCCGATTGTTTGTAAGCACCAATGTCTCCAGCTTTGGCAATGCCGCTGCACAACCACAGCTTTCATTCAACTTATCAAGAATATTACTAAATAGGAAGTGACGCCGCACAATGAAAGGCAATCTCATACCCCAAACAATAGGTCTTAACAAAGGGTCCCAGAAAAGATAAGCTCCTAGGTAGTGATGGCTAGAGCCCACCTACGGCAACATGATGCTCTTCAACACGAACCACATAATATTCTAAGGATTATCCTGACGTGCACTGCTAATGAAGTTCCATCAATAAAAACCTTCCTAGGAAGTCTACCCAAACTATATAGGCCTGTAAAGAAATTGTCTCACAAGTATAAATACAACCGAAGCTCAACACTTATTTTTAAGTTTGATATTGCCATCTCAATGACTAGTCAACATCTTCACTTCGATGAAGACTGTCGTATTAAGATACCTACAGAATCACGCTCTCAACTTCCAACCAAGAACTTGGTGACCAACACCAGAACTATTCAGTTACAAACGGCGCAGCAGACTGAACTTATGCTAGACTGAAATCTGCATACGTCAGCATATTCATCACGTATTGAGTTCAGGGAAACACCTCCGATATTGGGGTTGATGCGTGCTATCCTATTGTTGTTCAGAAGCAGAGTAGTAAGACGTTTCAGATGTGGAAAGCCCTCAAGCTTCACGATCTCGTTGTCGGATAAATCAATGCTCGCGTATTGATCCTAAAGATACATCTGAACGATGAGTGCAAAATTCGCAAACCAACTATTTGAGCAGATAGAATGCGATTATCTACAAACTACGCAACCAATCAACGATCTTCACAAGGCAATCAAATAATGACAAAAGCCCCAGGGATAAAAGAACTCTTAAAACCATTAGATACAATTACACAAATGCTAGAGTTAAAAATACATACCTCTGTGGCTCCGAGATTTTCTATAACTCCAATCTTATTCCCTGCATAGCTCAAGACAAAAGAAACCTCCGAGTGTCAATACAATGACGAGAATTAACGTTGAAGTGACCATTCAGACGAGGTTTAGCAGGAAAAATCTAGAAGCTGGACACAGAAAGAAAATGATTTGCGCATACACATTAATAAAATTAGGGTCTAAGGGGGAGGAAAGGGGAAGTACGTGTTGATAAAGGAGTGTGTGTGTGTGTGTGTGTGTATGTATGTACTAACAGACGGACTAAACTGGAAAGACAATTCTAACATCTCTAAATTCACTTAAAAACTCACTGGGAAAGCTTCGAGTGAGAACACTGTTGCCTCACAAGAAAATAGTTCGCCAACTACTAACATCAAGGTCCAATGGACTGCTAGCAGCATCTCAAACCATTAACGAGACAAAGTCATCTTTAGACCGAAAATTTCATGTCCAATAGGACATTTAAGGTGGCAATGCTAACTAATGCATAAAAAATAAAAAATAAAAACTATAACTACCGTACAGAGTGGAGCCAGATACTCATAAACTGTAGGCACATGTATATCTAGGAGGGGAAAAAAAATAAAAATAAAAATAAATAAATAAATAAATAAAACAAGAGACGACAATATAGTGGATTGACAGTACCGCGAAGATCGAGCTCCCTTTCTCGAACAGCATTGAAGTATTGAGGCGAGCGCAAAATCAAATCTGCTGTTACTCTCACCATCACGCCCTCTCAAAGATATTCGTAAAACGAACCCCGTACTGCTTAAATGAATGAAAACCCTATCACTCGGTCCAACTCAAACCTCACGGAGCCTCGTTTTTCGTACACTCGCAAGCAGGAGAACCTTCCGCTTGCGTTTTTCTCGTTCAAAACACCAATCTCTTCGCAAACAACTCTTTTCCCGCGAATAGAAGGAGCGGAACTTCACTTCTCCCCGGACTTCCAACAAAATTGAACCAAAATAGGCCGTAATTTATTTCAAAAAAGGCACTGTATATAGCATTGCAAGAAGAATCCAAAAGAAACTCAGAAATGAAACCGCCTGTGAGAAAAATTCCAAACGATCGAGAAAGAAAAATCCTGTTGATAAACCCTGGAATTTCTTTTCATGAGGCTCAAAACCGAGGGCCGAAAAAACAAGAGGCGTGTAATTTAGGATTAAGGAACTACAGAATCCCCATATAAGACGGGCAGCAGCAAATGGAGCATGGATCAAGCGTGAGGAGAAGCCATGGCGATGGTCATGAAGCAAGAAAACATACTGCCCGAACTGAAACCCTAAATCAATACTTTCAAAAACTGGAGCAACTCAACGACACTGGACTAACGGATGAAATTCGGAATGGATCTTATCGGATGACATTCATAATATTTATTTCGTCATCCGCTTGGGTCCTGAAGCATCTTGTTCTCCACCAAAACATTCTTGTGGGTTAATGAATAAATAAAGTATTCCTTGGTGATAACTTCCATATATTATTATAAATTTCATGTAGTTCATTCAATGTTGTCAGTCGTTTTATTTAAGCATCATCTATCAGCTCACAAGGTGACTAGAAAAATACTTTAAAATGTATCAAAGAATTCCAATTAGGAATTAATACAAATTTCTCTTTGTCATGCACCTTGCATTGTAAGAACTTCCTCCATACAACAAGGAAGCTTTGAGATTGTGATATGCAGTTTTTACTTAACCTTTAAAATCTTTGACTAAAACTATGTTGTTCTAACAATTTTAGTAATTTTTAAAATAACACACATGCTCAGAATACTGTGCAGAAAAGTGTGGTCATTCTTTATGATTTTTTATAGGATTTGGTACGTCCCATTTCCTCATATCTTAACTATTTTATATAGGCACCTATTTGTGTTTTGAAAGACCACTTATCTTTACCTTGGGTTGTTGGTAAATTTCATTTTGTTACACATCTTTGTCAAAAAGTCTTTGAGTTGAATTAAATTAATTCTATGCAAACATTTACATAAAAGAATTTGCTCTTAGAAACAATTGAAATATTTAGTGTTCATTCTACTATTTAATTTTACATCTTACAAGAAATTCATGATATTTTGTTCAAAAGTTTAAGAAAAAAGTGTTTTAATATTTTAGAAACAAAAAGTACAACTTATTTATTTTTATATATTTCACAGCCTAAAAATTTTGAGTTGTGGTTGCTAATTCCAAACGTCCATCCTGTTACAAAATATTCAAAATATTACAGCAATGCAATATTTACACAATTTGTGAGAAATATAAAAAGTTCTATAAAGTTGAATGTAATAGTTAAAAACATCTATATTGAAGCAAGTTTATGTTTATGTTTTCATAATCACATTAAATATATTAAAATTTATTATTTTACATATACATCTATGTTTGTATATATTTAAACACAAACATACATAACCAAATTTTGTTAAGACATATAATTTATTTTATTTTATTTTCACTATCCCTGAACGTTGGTTGGCAAAAGTCATACATTTGTAAAAAACTTGATTCTTTCTTACAAAGGGATTGAAAACTAATTTGAAAGAAACAAGTAAAACAATCTTACTGAATTTTTGAAGTTTTAAGAAGATCAACATCCTCTAACAAACAACCTCAAATAAAACTTAATTTTCAAAAATAATCAAATGAGAGATTTAAAAAAAAAAAAAAAAAAAAAAAAAAAAAAAAACTGTGTGAAATAAAAGATTTAAAAGTGCAAAAGCCTTGATGAATGAAGATAAATACAAATAAATAAATCTTCAGTAATTTTAGAAAATAAATGATAGATCTAATAACAGTGCAACAATAAAATGGGCTTATAATATAATATTTATGACTGGTTACAGTTACAGTTATGATTTCTAAAATACAGACAAAATTTCAACTTCGACTTTTTGGGCTAAACAACATACCTCAACAACCTTGAAATCATATCAAGTGTTCTACATTCAGGTTCTAAAACTCAGGACCTTTGCGATCACCTCACAAAATCTTGGTGTCATAGGTTTCCTTCGTGCTTCTGACGTTCAGAGCACGTTCACACGTTAAAGCAATAAAATGAGAATAATAAAAAATTAAAAAAATCCCTGAATTTGTGCTGCGACACTACAGCACTTACGGACGCAATCTCCAAAAACGTTTACTTCAACATCTGTGCTGCATATTTTTCAACTAAAAGGGGCATTCCTCTTGTATCAATCCAACCTCTTGATCGGATATTTTAGGTGGCGGTGACAAACCCTTCCCAAATGCGGCAATGAGGATAGCATCTGCTCGACCTGCCAAAAGAAAAGCTGCAATTACTACTCTAAACATTCAAGTTTGCCTGTTGAGAATAAAGAAGCTGAGCTTGCAGCAGAAAAATAGCTTCACAATGATCAAGTATGTCGCAAGCAAAATGAGTAGATGTGATAACAGTTTCAGACATATTTTTTTGCAAGCAAAAGAACTGTTCCATCTAAGCAGAGAAGGAAAACATTTCATACCATGATCCTTCTTGCGCTTCAGTTGCGGTCCCAAATCCGGAAACAAGGCCATGGCAGTGGCTCTACTGTCATCCTGTGTTCAAGACCATGCATGAGAAAATTAACAAACACATCATCATAGGCTACTCCCAACGGCTCCATTTGACGATTCATTTGGCCACAACGAGAATAAAAATATTAATTATAGCCCCTCTGATTGACTTTATAATTACTTAGAAATAATCAGTACATCTTTTCACTTAACTTCACAATGTAAGAAAATTGATCCATTCCTCAAACTAATCCATTATGGTGCACTCAAATACTGTGATGCAACGACAAAACAAGTCATACGGGACAGCACTGTCCTACAGGAACAAAACTCGATCACATGACCTTTAGAGCAAAGGTGATCCTGAAGGAGTCGCAATGAGGCAGACCTTAGTGTATTGTTTCCCGGCTATTCCCATCGCGCTCTTCCATACTTGAGCTCGCACAGGGACGACCTTGAACCCTAAAGCCATCAAAATCCCAACCCACATCCCATACCCGAACCCACAACCATACCACCCCTGCAAAAGACGAAACATTTACTGTGCTTGTTTGTGAACGACAAGAAGCTCACCACAATAAATAGAAAGTTGCATAAATAAACATACACGTATTTACCAACAGGTAGGAATGTAAAAACTCTTGCCGAGCTTTGATTTTGTGTAATAAGCCCAAACCTATAAAGACGAATCAACTGGATATGAGTACAACACTAGTGGATCTAAGAATACAGTAGATCGGGGCACATCATCACTAACCTGCTTTCCATCCATTGGGAAAGGCATGGCTTGCTCTACATATGCTACACTACCTGCAAGTAACCTTGCCATAAGGATAGCATTAGAATACAGTAAAGATAATCAAATCTTACTCTCGTAACCACACCCACAAAAGTAAAAAAATCTACATGTTTATTGCAAACGATTTTGTAGTGAAGCAACGCAGTATGATGAAATTGAAAGGACAGCAGCATCACAAGATGCACACCTTCTGGTGCATTGATCTTGTTCACAAGATCAACAATAGACCTGGCATCATGCCGTCGTCTCATAGTTTTTCCAACCTGTATTTTCACACATGGAACGTCCAGAACCTACAGCATACAATGTAAACCAGGAAGGCCAGCCATCAGCAATGCCATGGATCTGTCAAAGGGTTCACAATCTTTTAAATAACACTCGTGATCTTGTTCCCAATCATTTACACATTGTGGACAAAAATCCTCGGCTACAGAATCTGGAAAGGCAGGAAGAGAGGATGCTTCTACTAAGCACTAACTGAAAAAACATAATGAGATTACCTCTTGAGTACCATCTCTCAGGACGGCAATAGCACCAGAAGCATCGGGATCTATACCGAGTATGCAGGCATTGCTCGGCACAACAGTTCCCTGCAGTAAGTTCATGAAATCAAAAACGTTTACTTGGGAACAACAAACTGGAAAAGTAAAACCATTTACACAGCATAAAAATTCTCATACCTACATTTAGACCGTCTAGTCCGACACTCCAAGATTCAGACTCCAGAGACTCGCCCAACTCCTCAGGCACTGAACACATGCAGGTTCCAGAAATAGAATTAGACTCGCGTCACCTCGTAGTCACCAGCAAAACACGCAGAGGCTCGTCGTTGCATAAAGGATAATTAAAATTGCAGATCATAAAAACGTGTACTAAAAGTTCTTGAAAGATGAGAGGTGATACTTGCTTACATTGTGCTGTCTCTCCTTCCTTCAACTCTACTTCAGCAGCAATCCTAATTCCTCTAGTTACCCATGAATGTCTGGAACTACAAAACCCCAGTCCAACCTTCAGTAGAGAAATCATATGAACTGGAAACCGATGCGATTGACCAAAGCCGAAGTTAGGACCTCTGTTCATTCAACTTTGCTGTAATGAACAGAACTCTTCACTGCCAAATTCGAAATAATTGGGGAGTTCAGAAGGATCAAAAAGGAAAGCATGCCTAAGTTAATGAAACCTATTGGGACGTTCTTGTGACACAGCACATTACCCAGCTTCTACATGCACATGGAAATTAGTAACATGACAAAGATCACTTCAAAGTGCCATCAGAAAATGTCTCGGAGTGTAAAAAGAATTGAGGAGCAAGAGGGGAGGTATTACTTGTTGCCCACGCCTGTTGGGGACACGCAGAATCTGACCACCATTGGGTCATTTAAAGACGACTTGTCAATCGTAGACGAGTCTCCTCTGCAGAGGCGATTGTCAGCAAAAACTCGGCCTTTCAGACATGCGCAGAGACGTGCAGTTCCCTTCTGCAATTACACAGTGCACAGAACCTATAAGCTACTCAAGATGAAAATTGCGCGAGATTTAAATTTTCCCACAATGCAAAATTAAAGCAATACACTTCTCGGAATACGTAAGACCAAACTAATCTAGAGATAGCAAATTGCATACATAACCAACTAATCTGAAGCAGAACACAGCTTACATACAATTCAACTACGAAATTTATTAGAGAGCAACCGATAAGAAATCACATTACCTGCTGACTTTCAAAAATACCGTGAATCGTGCCCAGAGAAACAGAGGATACCGTAGATGATGTGATCCTTCCTGTTGCTATAGCAGTCCTCGCGATCGCCACCCGCCTCCAAAACCCTCCCCGTATCATTGTCTCCACTGCAAACCCCTCCACCCCAACCCCGACCGTTTCCCACTCAAATCATGCTGAAATTCCAAGGACCTACTAAACATTTCAAACGAGTGCGCTCAATGACCAGGCGTGAGATTTGCGTAGTAAGCAAAGTTTACTTTACGCCAATTGGTCGGAGAATTCACAAAATCTCTCAAACTTTATCTCTCCTTGCATTCTCATTTCGAATAGACTGATACAAATGCAGTGCCCTCGAAAAAGAAAGTATTCTCGGCCACAATTTAGATAACACATAGTTCATCGGAGTTGACCAGATTCTTGGTCGCACGTGCAATGCGCAGGATTCGACAAAAACAACCGCATGTACATGACAGAAGTCTCTACGCCAACGACTGCGCATAGTTGGTTGGCAACAAGAATCACAATTCAACAAAGATGCAATGCTGTTTTAGCAAACCAAGCAACCCGGCTTCATATAGAAATTACGACCCTTGTCAAAGGTGACAACCTCAGAGCTGCAAATATTGAAGCCACCCAACAGAACCCACCTTCACCAATAGAATGCAGTGCTGCTATTTCCAGATTAGCACGCATCCCAGACATTTGCATCTCCTGCTGGATCGGCAAATCCTTCAAACACAAGTAGCATGACCTAAAGTTGCACCAGGAACACTTGAGGTACCTCGAACCCCTCACTTAAACCCTAAACCTCTGGAGATCACAAAAGAGGAGTTGAGGTATTGCAGCATTAATTTCATCACCTTCTGAATGACTTTATAGAGGATAAAAGGTTATTTGAATGTAGTTGTTTATCTTCAAGATTCGGTCTTGATATTCTTTTTTTAAATTTTCATGCTGGATGCAGAAGCGTGCTGCACTGAAATGAATTGTAGTCTTAGAGTAGCTAAATCTACTTAAAGTCCTATCTCATTTCTTTTTTTCTTTATAAATTGATTCTATGCAAGTCGGTCACCTAGCTTCGAAAGTAGCTTGTGAATTAACTGGTTGAAACTTGAATCGAGTATGTGTTGCAACAAATACGTCTAACTATTACTTCATGCTGTTTTTTTCCTTGTTCTGAATATAGTAACTTGAGGAATCAATATCAAGTACAGAAACTTTTATTTTTTGTTGGAATTGGTGGTTTTGAGCAATGATTTTATATATATGCAAATCTGTTTGTGTAAGCATATAAATAAACTTATGACTTTAGTGTGGCAATATAATATTATTAGAATATTACTAATGTCACCATAATTTTGACTACTGCCATTAAAACTTAAGTCAAGATTTAGTCATTAATTTTAATTTAAGTTTATTTCTTTTGTTACTTTTATGGCAACCATTTCATCATAATGCAAAATATACACTAAAAATATTAAGAATTTTATTGACTATTTAAAAAAATAAATGAAGAAATATGTCAAGTAGATGGTGGGTTGTGGTAAAAGCAACAAAGAATTGTGGTGACATTAACAATACCCTTATTATTATGATTTTCATAAAAAAAAAATTGGTGATTCACCACTAACTTAATGATTGTAAAATAAAAACATTGAAATAGGTAGCAGTGTTGAATATTGGAACATAGATATTACACATTTTATCTATTTTAATATTTCTAAAAACTAACAGTAGATGAACTTGTATTACATGTATAAAAAAATATCATACAAGCGACTTTAAGTTTTGCTTTAATTGATATTTTTTTTATCAATTAAAAATTTTAAAATTATAATAGTTATATTTCTGCAATTGACTTCTATGGATCAATTATTGATAACTGGAGAAGTAAATGCGTCCTTCAATTGGCATTGTTGTTGTTATTATATTATATTATATTTTATATTTTTATTTTTATCTTTTATGTATTTATATGTTGAAGATACAATCTATTGGTGTTTTTTGCAAAACAATGTACCACAGATTTGCATCCATTCATACACCTTAAGCAAACCCTGCTACACATTTTTTTAGCACTTCCTTCACAATTTTTGATGACAGTAAAGTGATAAAACTTTATCCATTCAAGAAGAGACAAAAGAAAAATATCCACAATAAAAGACAAAGACACATTAAATGTTAAAAACAAACTTTATAAAACAATAACAAAAATATGTTATAAATAATTGTAAATAATAGGCATTTAAAAATGGTCAAAATATTATGAGAAAGTCAATATAAATGGTACTAAATATAACAGCATAAATACATTTTTAAAATAGGAGATGCTCAGAGACAATCAAGAGATTTGCAAGACTTAAAATATTAAAACAAAGTCAAATACCACTTCTTCTTCTTTTTAAAATTTTGAAGTAACTATATTGATGTATGTAGAATATTTGATAAAGGTTTTTTTATTTATTATTTTAAAGTTTGACAAATGTTACTCTTATATAAATGCGAGTTTGAATCATTAATTGTCAAATGGCCTTTTTTTTTTTTTTTTCAGAAAATGTCAATTGCACTATAACATGTGGTACATTTTTAAAATTCTTAATATGTTTTTTTTAAACTAAAAAACATGTATAATTTTTGGTTTTGTGATCTATATTCTACTAAAATAATGAGGAAAAAGACAATATTACAGATTTAAACAATAAATACTTTGAGTATAGAAAATGGATTTTTACGATAAATACAATAAATGCTAATATGGATAGTTACACCCAAGTGAAGATTACTCTTTCAAAGGAAATATTGAATGTTGTTGAAGGTATTTTGCTTGCTTGACCAAGTTTCTATGTATTGTTAGCTAAACATACAAGTAAAACTAATAATCAACATTTAATAGAAGTTTAAGAAGGTAATAAATTGGTTTTTAAATTTTTGCAATAAAGTCCAAATGTTTATATATATATATATATATATATATATACAAGAATGTTAAATAGACCTAAGTTTTTACTAAATTAACCCACCCATCATCATGAAAAATAAAATTATTTGTAGATTCATTTTTCAACTATTGGATCTGCAACCAATGAAAACCAACTACATTCATTATGATTACCATATTCTTCATCAAGGATGGATCTATTTAGTAAAAACATGAGTCTATTTAATATTCTCCTATATATAATCGAAAAGTCTATAATTTCATATAAATGTATTGAAAAATTATTCAAATATTTTTAAATACTAGTGTTTATTCTATAAACTATTATTAAAAAATGCAACACAATTAATGGACAATGAAATTTAAAGGACAATGCATTTAAATTCATAAATCTCATGAGAAACTATTTTTTTTTTTCTTTTAAAATCTTATCTAGATGAGATTTACAAATAGTGAAATATAAAGAAGAAGATAAAACATAATGTTTTCTTATTAAAATTTTAATATCCACTCAGTCAATTGTAAATAATGTTGCATCTTATGTATAATATGTGTTTTGTAGTAAATACAAAAGTGTAATATTGTAATTTTGAATATTTTATTTAAAACTAATTAAGAAATAAAATATTTTTGAACTTATACTCACAAATAAATATAGCTCACAAAAATGTAACATTCTTACAAATTAAATCAATTCAAGTTCAAGAAAAAAAAAAAAAATCAAACCACAATTCAAAACACTTCAAAGCAAATACCAATTGCACATCACTAGCATTCTACCTGAAGTATGTAATTTTTATATTTTCAAGTAGATTACATGATAAGAGACAACTACATGTATATCAATAACTTGCACCATAATTTTATAATTTACCTCCAAGTGATTACAATAGTATCAATGCACTCACATCCTTCTTATTCCCTTCAAATAGACTATATATTATAAAACCAAAGGAGACAAAAACCATCTCTAATTGGCTACACATCTCATTGTTTTTATCAAAAGTGAAGCAATAACTCACCTTTTGATCAATCAAAGATTAGAATTTGCATAATGTTGTTGCAGATTGCAGAGATTAGCATTACAAGATGACTAGGGTTGGAGCTCGGAAGCACTACAATGTGGAACAACATGGAATATAATGGAATGACATACAACATGGAGTTTTATGTCATATGAAGCTTCAAACAAAAGATTAATTTACAACACATACTTTACAATGTTTTTTTGTGGCCAACAACATGGGTTTCCACTAGTATGTATGTATGTATATATATATATATGTATATATTCTTCGAATAGTGTCATATTTGAAGCATCTTTACAAACATGCAAGCTGATTTCCTACTCGAAGTAACTCAAAAATTTACCCATTTCCAAGAGAAATCTCAATACCAACACCAGTGAAAGGTGCAGGGCACACACGATGTGAAAGGCCGGATTTTTAATCACAGTTAGTGGCGTTTTTAGCACGTTGAGTTGGCTGGAGGAAGACATGAAAGAATGCGCTGGGAGTCTTCTTCAGCTCTCCCCGAATTCGGAAGATATTTTGCTTGAGCCGGTGACGTGCACAGGGCCAGCTTAGCAACACCCCCACTTGAAGGGGACGACAAAGGCTGAAGTGAGAGTGCCGAAAGAAGACGTGAGAATGGCTCAAAAAAAAAAAAAAAAAAAAAAAAAAAAACATAAGAAAAGCTTGTCTGGACATTTTCTTCTCACTTGCTGCTGCCTCACAATCAATCAGGGTACCCTCCCACTTGCTGTACAAAACTCAGTTGCAAGCTTTGATTTTGAACACTTTTGGAGTTTCTTCTTCTACGTGCGTGTGTGGATTCTTCATTAATTAATCAGTTTATTTATTTATTTATTTATTCCAATCTCATAGATGGCCCGATATCCACGATGTCTAATTGGATTCAAAGCATCTGCCTCACACACCGTTTTCCTTCTTCGTGTACCTGGCAGCCAAAAATCCCCCTTTTTCCCAATCCTTTTCTTCGGGCAAAGGCTTAAGGTTAGGTGCATCGTCATCTAAGAAACTGTAGAATCCAATACACCCGGTGCAAGCTGCGCGGGTCGCAATCTATCACAATCCGTTCCTTTTGCACTACAATCACAAGGGGAGTTCAAGAGGAGCAGGAGAGTTGTGCCGGAGTGTTTTTTTTTTCCTTGTTTCTTTCTTCTTGGTCGCTTGGTCTCGATGCAATGTTATGTCTTCGAGCGCTATGGCAAGCGGAAGAATCTGGGTTAGGCTACGTGAGTGTTGAGATTCTCTTTTGCTCTGTAAGGAAGTGTGTGCACAACGGAGGCAGGGCGTGCTTTTATCGATAAGGGCAGGAGGATGGCAGAGTTGTTAGGGGTGCAATTGTAGGTGGGACGTCTCAAAGCGATTGACTCCTTTCGTTTTTTCGATGTTGGGTTCTCTGTGTGTTATAGCCTTTCTGATGGCGATGATTTGCGAACCTTTGCAAATGGATTCTATAAGTTCTCGCTAGCGGAATACGTGAGGTGACTGGAAGATCTGTTGTTTTCTTTTGTTCGTTTGTTCGGCTCTAGTTTTTCAACGCTCACACATACTACATGAATGCCCTTCTACTTCTGCTTCGAAGAGTTACATCCGTAATTCTATTCTCTTGGACACATAGCCTTAGTTTAAACTTCAAGTTTGTGACACTTGGCCAAAGCGTTGCTGGAGGCAAATATTTAGAATCAACAGTGACTTGGACTTTTTCCCAGTTGCTAATAGTATCTGGAGATGGAATTGATTAATTTGTTTGTAATAACGCAGTGCAAAGAATTTGCAATCCTCTTGATTGTCGCGATGCCGGTATCAGGATGCAGGGCAGCTCAATTGAACTGATAATGGTTTTCTTGTGAAAAATGCTTGTCAGGCAAGGTCATCCTCCAACTGGTGAGATCCAGGGAAAGGCCTGAGAATGCCGGCAAGCAAGTCGCGAGGACGGCGCAAGCTGGGACATACCCTCAGACCCCTCAATCTGTACTCCACCTTGCCCCTCTGAACCACTCTCGATTTATTGCTTGAATCGCTTCACCTGGCATTTGATGAAACATCGGAGTAGGATTCACGTCTTGAATTGGTCTCTTATCCTTCATTGTGTATCTATGTCTATTGTGTGCAGGATATTAGACTCTTCCCAACTTAAATTCATCCAGGGTTTACGCATCGAAGTGTTAGACACGGCACCCACAACGCTCTGCTGTGTAATCGGGCGTACCCTTACCTGGGATCTTGTAGAGTTCCAGAAGAAGATCTCTCTAACCACCACTAGGTGCCAGGAAAGCGATGAACAGCGGATATGGGCAGCCACAAGCTTCCTGACACAAATCCGGGGCTCCTCATGCCACTTTCTAATTCCCAAACTTACTCCCTCTCTTCTCACCGCTTTTGATCTTGACTTCCATCTTGTGGTCTTGTCCTCTTGAAAACAACTCCGAGAGCTCACCTTTATTTCCATTGGCAGTTGTTATCTCAGATTCCCTGCATTATTCAGCACATGCCATATCCCTCAACGATGGCCAAAGGCGAGATTGCCGTGGTGGAGCCCCCGCCCATTGTCTTTAGCTACTCATTTAAACTCGGCGAGCGCGCAACCAGCGATGTGATTGTCAGGCTACGTACTGTCCACGGCCGTGACGACTGGTTCTATGCACACTCTGAGATTCTCTGTGCCAAAAGCAAGTACTTCGCATCACGCCTCTCAGATGAGTGGCCCACGTATCATCTCCTCGACTCCCGCAACTGTGTTGAAGTAATTTGCATCGAGTCTGACATTGACCACCATGTGAAACTCCTGCGCATGTTGTACTCCAACCTCGAGGAGCCCGTCGGGGACATGTGGCACAGCGTGAAGAATGCGCTCGGCATGCTGAAAGTGGCCACCAAGCTTGGGTGCGATGCCATAGCTTCCAAATGTGCTTGCTACTTGGAGGCGGTGCCTTGGGAGGAGAATGAGGAGGAAGAGATTCTCAAAACATTGCCAGCAATTGTTAGCTCAACTCACAAACTTGTTGCGGAGCTTGGAGCTGAAATCCAACCCGTCCTCGCCAGATTGCAGCCCGTAGATGCGGTATCCATTCGCAATGTCTTTATCTCTGCTGTGCACATGGCCACATCGTCCAAGAGCAAAACCTCCGACACATTGTCCACGCTCCCGAGTGATCTCAAAGCAGCAGCTCAAGAACAAGTTGAGTACATGTTAGAGGAAGACGACGACGCGCCGCTGCTGATCGCGGATGATGACCTCAAATCTGCACTCAGGGTGAAATTTCTGAACCTTTTCGGGAGTTTCAAAACCGAGTTGATCGTTCTCACGGATTCAACCCGTCAATTCTCTGAGGCGACGATTCTGGAGAAGGTCTCAGACCTCCTGTGGGCGTCTCGTGTTCTCCCTCGAGTGGGGCTCAACCCAGAATTTGTGGATTTTTGGGTGGGAATTTCGAGTGACGTGACGGGGGCTCTGAACGGGGAGAAGGTGCGGGAAGTTCTGTGGGACACGAAGCTGCGTGTGGTGGAAATCACGGCGACGGTGCTGAAGGCGGTAGGGTATGGGAATGTGATATTAAGTGCTGGTGAGCGTGTGCAGCTGGTAAAGGTCTGGTTGCCGTTTATCCGCGAGACGAAGCTTGTGGTGGAAGAAATGTTTGCAGTGGAGAAAGTGAGTATGGAGATGGACGTGGACTTGTGCCAGAGTATTGAGAATGCGCTTGTGTCGCTGGTGTTATCGTTGCCGTCAGGAGATCAGGCTGAAATCCTTGCAGACTGGCTTCGCTGGGATCACGCCAGGTATGGCATCTCTTGATATTCCGGGCATTACAATGAAAATGACTAATCAGGCTGGGTGGTTGAAAACTGCGGTATCTACTTCATTGCGAAGGTGGTGAGGCATCTTCTAGCCCACATTACTCATGTCATTCTTTGAAGTATGTAAAACTTCCGATTTGCTCTGCAGGCAGCTACCATTTTCCAGTAGATGCTGAGCATTTGGAGGAGAGGAAGTAAACAGTCTGAAGTGACAATATGGATACCTCTCCACACTCTCCTCCTCATGAAAAACGTGTTGGGCTATAATATTCAGAATAAGTAGGTGAAACATCTACTAGATGTTAAAATATAACGTACCATAGTATAATCTTTCAAGCTACGTAGATCGAAGGAGCTCTGCATTCTCAAGTTTTAGTCACTAACTACTCTGTATACGTGTCCAGGTTTCCAGATTTAAGCGAAGCATTCGAGGTCTGGTGCTTTCGAACCAAAGCCGCAAAACGGCGACTAGGCGTCGAAAATCGCAAGGTTGGGAGTGCTATCCGCAGTGGGTGTGCATCTTAACCATTTCGACCCAAAACGCTACAACATCCGCCGCAATATGATTCATTTCTAAGGTCTTGCTTCTGCGCTCAAAGCAGCAAATACAAGTGCTCTCAATCTAGATGACTGCCTTGTTTGCTTTGGCATGTATTAATAGATTCTTTTCGCGAGCATGCGACAGATTTTATTCATGTGTAGTTTGTCTAGCTTTCGTATCTTAATGCAATTCGTATTTTCGAAACATCCCATAACCTCCAAGCATTCTGGATATTATCAAGAGAGGTCTGTCTTTGCAATGTACGGAAACTGAGAGATCTGATGTTGATATGGCAATGTCTGCTCGTAATACAAACGTTTAGTTAAAGAGCTAAACAACATATTAAGCATGACACACACTTAATTGTAAATTCTCCGAAGCCGCTAAAATACTAAGAACTAAACGTAGCCTCTAGTAAACCACACTGTCAAGTAAAGGGCATTAATCAGAAGTTCCTAATGAACACTCTTGCTGCTTGCATTTCTTGCTACAAAACACCACACCAAGCAAGTGTTGTGAATCCCATGCAGAGTTGTTATATGCTTTGAGGTCCCGCTTTGGTTACAGCCACAATGGGGTATCCATATTGTCACATAGAAAAAAACATCTGCAAGGAGGCCTTTGGGATGCAACCCACGATTAAAACGCAAAGATGGTATAACTTGTAAAACAAACAAAAATGTTCGTAGGTTGTGTGTAATAGTGACCAGGAGCCAGGAGCATGCGAGGAGGCTCATTACAATTTCGGAGAGGAGAGAGGAGGATATATATATATATATATATATATGTATATACATATATATATATGTATATACATATACATAAATACATTATTTTAGAATTTTTTTAATCCTACGGTTTGTGTCCTTTTTAGTTTATTTGATATGGGCATAAAAACGAAAAATATATCTAAAACAGTAAATGATCAACTAAACAAACAAGTCAATGCATAATATTCTTCTACACCATTGTTGCTGCTCATCCTCCGTCATCTCTTGTTATTTTGTATTATTTTTATTATTAGGTTGCTGAATTTTCTGGTTTTCACTATTATTTTGAAACCATCTAACAATGCAAATGATGTAATAAAAACAAAATACATAAATTCATTACTTTCAAAAGTTAATTCATTCATTTGAAATCAACATTTATTTCACTTATGCACATTGCAATGTATGCACTCCAAATTTTCTCTTTTTCTCTATAGCTTAGAGGGCAATGTTGGTGTCATTTAATAGCATGACCAAGGCAATGTGCTCTGGCCTGGGCAGCAAGCTGCTTGATGGGCCAGTACCCGAGAAAAATTAGATTAATATTATGAGGCTTGAAGAGCCACACATCAGATAATAAAACTGATAAGAACAAATACTACACTTGGTCTTAGCCAAAAGGCCATGAATGGTGTGCCTCTCTTCCCATTCTGCTACCCTCACACTGTTGTCCATGGCCTGTTTCTTTCAATCTGCATTTCCATCACCTCCTTCTTAATTCAACTAATGAATAGATTCACCACATCACCAGTTGAATCCCCATTTTGAAACGAATGTGAGTTATGCACGTATCAGTGTCTGAATTGAATTATCAAAAAAATGGTTTTCAGTTGTTGTACACACACAATGTTTGAAACTGACATACTTCAATTATTTTGCAGAATTTTAGTTTATCATCTCTCTTCTTTTATGGCAATGCATTGAAAACGTTGTTGTTGTTGTTGTTGTTGTTGTTGTTTTTCACATATCAGCATAGTGTAGTTAAGTATTACTTTATTATTTTAAATCTATTCCATGAATATTTCTGACCTGGGAGTAAACATTATTGAGCCATTTGAGAAGTAATAACTCCATACAAGTGAAGTGTGTGTATGCATTTACAATGATATTTATTTATTAGAAACCTACAATCCCTTTCACACCAGGATAGACACCTGCCTTTCCGTTCATTTGTAAGTCAAATTTGAGACCAATTTATTTACATTGAAAACATGAACTGTAATCAGTTTTCATGCGCACAAAAGTTTCAGCTCGAAGTAAAATTGAATTCGAATGAAACACATCTTTTTAAGAAAACTCTCTTCCTTGTTCTGTTTGTTACATTGGTGGCAAAAAATCCTAAATAATATACTTATGTGTGGAATTGTGGGTTGTGTCTCATTTCTAATGAAGAGTGTTAGAAACTTCTTCTGCCCACACACCTTCATCAATATATTCTCTTTCAAAAAGCTAAAGATTTCTTTTTTGGGGTTCTGAGTTTCATCCATATGTGGTCGTTCATCCAGTCTTAGAAACGGGTTCCTGATAATAATAAGTAATCCATCAGGATTTGTGCAACAGAAACCCTAAAACGCAGGAACACTCACTATGCGGACTCGCAGACAGACAAGTACTCCGGAACGAGCCCGCTCCAATCGGGCTCTTATGGTGCTGCGCATGTCCAATTTGAATGGCAAGGGAGCTCCCTTCATGGACAGCAATTGAGCACCTGGTCGACCGCATTTCTGCGCAGCGAATCCGTGCACGGAGATTGCTGATATTTGTGGGTTCATCTGATGACCCTCTAGGTATATTCTGACCAAATTTGGTTTTTGTGTTTCCTTAATCCTTCTCTAGAATGCACCGAAATTATTATGAAATTCCCACTTTGGAAGTGTGGGCACGAGTGAAATTGTGTTAATGTGGGAGCAATCCAGAGTTCATTGGATGGGAGAGGCGACAATTGCATGCTTTGATGAATTTTTTAGACTTTTTCCATGTGTTTGGTTTGTTTTGGGACGGGTCTTGACATGATATGTGAGCTGGGAACCCGGGAGTATTTATTTATGTAATGCTCGAGCTTGATGGACTGATTTTAGTCGATCTCATGATGTGGACGTAGCAGTTGGGTGTTGATCTGACAGTAAAGTTACCTTGGTCAGCATTCATTTTAAGCATCCAATCTATGGTTGTATTGGTTTGAGGCTTTGTTGAAGAGTGTTTTATACTAATTCAGTTGCTCATTGGTGAATTTGACATTTAGAGGCGCTTCTCTTTATTTGATTTTGAAGTGTCTCCTGATACTTGGTTATTGCGCGGATTGTGTGTAATGTACTTGGTTGCTTTGTTTTCTATGTCCATATTTCAGTCTGTTATGATCGATTGTTAAAAGTTTATTCTCGGCTTCCGCGTGAAGTTTTTTCACTTTCCCACTTTTTCTTGTTGGCCTCCACGGATGGTGTTCTCCGGACTTTTAGATTTGACCAGGTCTTCGTTTCTCTCTATCTCTCTTTGGATTTTAAGGGGTTTGCAAGTGTGTCAAGGTTGATCATCTACTCAATTTTGGATTGTTGCAGGCGCTACTGGAATTTCAGTTCATATTGTAGAAATGAAGAGGGCTCATGATATCGACGAATCTGCCACGAAACGTCTCCGTCGTAAGTCTTTCTATACTAAAACTTGGTGTTTTTGAGACTGAGTGGGAACAATACATTATACCTGTTGTGTTCATGTTTCGCTATTATCTAGTCCTGGTTTTGTGGCTTTAATGGATGTAGTGTTGGCAGGTGATGGTGTGAATGACACACAGGGCAAAGAGATTGTGCGGCAAGTTGCGGATCACTATAGTGCCCGAAGCAACCAGACCCGTGAGCAGAGGGAAGCGAGCCCTATCATCCACCTTAAGAAACTCAACAATTGGGTAAAGTTATCTTTCCACACCTAGCTATTGCAAGGATTTCACTAGCGAAGCCATCACGTCTGCATTCCACTGGTGGAATTTCGTATTTGTTCCTTGTTATTCGGTCTTGTTAATATCGTGTTTCCATTTGTGTTTCTCTGTAGATCAAGAGTGTCCTGATCCAAATCTACACGCAACGGGGAGATACAGTTCTTGATATGGCTTGTGGAAAGGTGCACAGCTTCTGAGATTGTCCTGCAATATATTCTTTGATCTTGGTCAAACTCTAACCGAGGCCCATTTTCCTTGTCATAATTCTGAATACGGACAGTTTTCCCATTTGGCATTTAGCTGTAATGATGCAGGGGGGAGATCTGATCAAGTGGGACAAGGCGTCAATTGGTTACTACGTTGGTATTGACATTGCCGAAGGCTCGGTACTCATCTTTTAAGCCCACAATGAAATAATGCTTTTTGCTGATTTCAATATGAACGAGTCCGCAACGCATGGACTCGATGCTTGGGTTAATTTTGTTGTGCTCGATGAGAGATTTTTTTGATGAAGGGTTAATTTGACGGGCGGTGATGCTTCTAGAAGCTCCTTCCTCAGTTGCCTCAAGCAGTATTATTTGGTTGTACACGGCAGATTGAAGATGCGAGAAAGAGATACAATGGAGAAACTGATCACGCACGTGGTCGCAGAGATTTCGGCTTTCCAGCAAAACTTATCTGTGCCGATTGTTTTGAAGTACTCCCTTTTGACTTCAGTCGTTTGCAACTGCTTTCCCTTTAGAGGTCCTTGCTACTGTTTTGTTACCTTGTGAGTATAGTTTTACTTCCTTCCTTAGTTTTAACTGTTCATGAATTCCTCATTAACGTCAGCGGAGATGTTATCTGTCCCTGCCATGCTTAAATGTACTCATTCTTGAATCTGTCAATTTTGAATGATGGTATACTGGTTTGTCTGAGTTCAGGTTGATCTAGAGAAAATTCTTAAAGATGATGGTCTCTTTAATGTCTGCAGTGTTCAGGTACATATGCTACATGGGTGTTAAATTTGAAGTGTTGGCTTGGGATATATAATTATGGAAGTGGTATTTTAATGTATTTCTGAGAAGCCACGAATTCTGACCAGCGGGAAATTATCAACTTAAGCCAGTACTCTTTTTTTTTTTTTTTTTTTTTTTTTTTTTTTTTTTTTCTCTCAGGATTTTTGTTCCAATTCCTGGTTCCTTAATTGTGCGAAATAGAATTGTCCTTTAAATTAAGATTTGATCCTTTAAATCAAGCTTGTGGACAGCAAATGGTTATGTACTAAAGATGGTGGGTGGTTCATAATCAGTTTGCAATGCACTATTCTTGGGATACGGAGGAGCGAGCACGAAGGGCTTTCCGAAACGTCTCTGCCATTCTACAGCCAGGAGGGTGCTTCATAGGCACCATGCCCGATGCAGATGTTCTAGTTCGCAAACTTCGTGATGGTTGATGCCTGACCCTTGAAATATTTGGTTTCGGTAGTCTCAATGTTTTCATTTGGTATATAGATCTGCTCGTATTGGTGCATGAGTGACGCCTTATGATTATGGACGCATGAGCTCAATTTTCAGCTGAATTATCACTGAATGGATATTGGTACTATGTCAGAATCTTGAATTGGCTTCATTCCGTCAGGTTTTTGAACGTGATCACCAAGTGGGCAGGCCATATTTGTCTGATTGAACTCCTGATTTGTGAAACAGCCCCTGAACTTGAGTTCGGAAACAGGGTCTATCGGGTGCGATTTGACGAGAAATACAGTGAGAAGGTGTGTTGTGTTATTAAACCTTGATATATAACTCAGCCAGTAGTCTTAACCTGCACTATTATTCACTCAAACTCTACGTTTAATCTCCTAATCAAATTATCCGTAGGCAACATCTCAAATGCCTACAGCAGGATTATGACTAATTATGCATCGCAAATTCCTGAAATATATTCTCCTCTCTGCAGCAATTCCCATCATCAACACCTTATGGAATTCAGTACGAGTTTCATTTAGAGGTACGATCCAGTCTTACTGCACTAATGGTTATGAAGAGTCCTTGCTAACATATAGTCGAATAACTTTTAAAGATCATTTCTGCAAATGATCTGCATTGTCATTTGATGACCAAGGTTCACCTGCTTTACATTTTAAATACCGCAGCTCTGGTGGTTTGCCTTGTATACTTCTCGTGCAGAGTGTTGGCTTAGTTTTCTTATTTGCTTCTGCGCTGTGTAGTATCAAGTATTGGATTGTTACTTACTGCTTCTCATAGTGTGGAAGCGTAAGTAGATTGTTATTAGAACACGTATGAATATTGTGCTTCACGTGATAGATTCGACTGTTATTTCATACTCAAGTAGTTTCACATGAGTTCGATTCTCGAGTTGCCCCCTCTGACAGCCAGCTTTACTTGTTTTGCGATGCATGCAGGATGCTGTGGATTGTCCAGAGTGGCTTGTTCCCTTCCAGTGCTTCAAATCTTTAGCAGCAGAGGTACACCTAAAACTTGTTTTTTACTCCGCCCTGAATTTCGGTAGTAATCTCATTAAGTATATCATATCACTTAATATTTAGCCAAAGTGGTTTGTTCTCCGATGCCTTACTTTCTATTTTTCTTTGATCCAAAATTCAAGTGAGAATTGTTCACCTTCATTTCTACTGTCTGTGTTAAACTCGTATTGAATGTGAGTCGGTTGCTGTGGACAATTGGCATGTGCAGTATGGGCTCGAGCTTGTGTTCAAGAGTAATTTCCACTCATTCGTAAAACAGTACTGCCAGCAAAAGGATTTTGCAGATCTGATGCGCAAACTAGGAGCGCTTGGTGATTCTGGTATCCGTCCTTCTTACTGAATGAAAATTCTTTTCACCACTATCATCTGCTCTTCATCAATCATAGTTTGAGATATCACAATCCGATATGTACTCCAGATAGTGGCTCCTATGTTACTTATGGGGTTATATGTGGACTCTCTCAGCCGCTGGCGATGCTATCACAGACGATGAGTGGGATGCTGCTTACATCTATCTTGTCTTCGTGTTTAGGAAGGTAATATTGTTGTGCTTTAAAGCACTATTCTGGTTGTGGGAGTGTTTGGTTGTTGGCTATACTTTGCTGTGATGAACAGACTGAGAAAAACTGATGGACACGGAGATTTCACTCTGTTCTTCCTCGTCTCATGTTTTGCATAAAGCTGCACGTTTCAATTGAACTTTCTATCTGCCTTTTTTTGATAGTTTGCTGTAGCCTTCGTTAGAATTGCATTTTAATGGAAACCAATGCTGTTGTAATGCTAACGTGAAGGCCTTCTGTTGGCTTTGGTATGACAGAGTGGAAATAAGCCTCCCCGGCCCCGGTCTTCTCGCGGCACTTACAAAATCATAAGTCCCGATGAAGTGATTTATATCCCGCAATGACTTCTCGAGCAACCTACCTCTTCCTGAATTGATCCACCACCAATATTCGCCGGATATTTCCTCCACGGTAATTTCTCTACTCCGAAATGATGTTCATCATTGAGTTTCACCTGACTCTGCTAGTTTCAAGATGTATACGAATAGTGGCTTTTTATTAAAAGTCTGTCAGATCTTTGCACTTCTCCAACTTCATACAGCCACGTAGTTGTCATTTTCAATCACTCTTCGAAATATTGAACGAAGTTTTTTATTTGCTTGTACAGCAGTAAACAATTACTCCTTTGAAATTGATGTTGTTTACAGGGTGATGAAGTTACGCCGCGAGCAGCTGAGTAATTTAAGTTTCTTTTGCTGCCATAATAGGTGGATCAGGATTGAAAAGGTAACTAGATTGTTTAGCAGCAGAGTTAATTTTAGAAATTTTATCATGGTTCTCAACTTTTACAGGCAATTCCTCAAGAGGTTATGCATCATGAGAAAAGAACCAAGTTCCTTAGTCCTTTGTAAAATGCAGGATACTTCTGGTATTGCAGTAAAAGTTTTTGTCAAATTCATCAGTTTACAGACCTAATCAACATACTGTAATACGAAATCGTCCCAATTGTATTGTTGACTGTCCTGCTTCGAGGGGCCATGAACCTGGTAGCTCAGATGATCAAAGAACCTAACAAGGATGACAAGGATACAAACAATAACATACACATGTCAAATAATAACATATATTCAACATAAAACCATTGTGAGACCATATGTATAAATGGGTTGAGATCTGATAGTTCTAGATCTCAACAGCAACAATATGACATGGACCAATTATGCTCTTCATCCATGAATGGATGATAAGAGAAGGCATAAATTGAGATTATTGTTCCAACACCTCTTCTTACTACTAACATTGCATTGAAGGTGAGTGGCATAGAACATGTCCAAAAGTAAAATGATTTTTTAGTTTGATGGTTTCTAGAAAATTCCATATTGTGCTACTTCAATCAAATTGAGAAGGATGCAATGATGACATGGATTGGTGAATAGACAAGGCAAGTTTTTTGTTTTGTTATTTTGATGACTTGGACACAAATAAAATGTGCTCAAAAGGGAAGTTGGTTTTTTAACATGATGATAGCTTGGAAATCCAATGTTTGTGTTATTTCAATCAAGTTGAGAAGTAGGTGGTAAATGTTGGATTGGTGAAAGGACAAAGCAAGTATTTTGTTGCTTTATCAATGATGACATGATGATGAGTGGAATTGATTTTGTAGAAAATGTATTTTTTTTGTATAAATAATCATATAGAGTAGCAATAGGGAAGCGGCTCTACTTGTTTTGCAAAATTTGCCATTGTGTCTTATTGAATAAGGTTGCTTTTGCAAGAAATAGGATTTGGATATGGAGATGCTATATAAAAGGTAAATTGGTGCTTATATTTTTAGTTTTTAGAAAGTTGGTGAAGTGTATATAGATAGAGTTTTGTGGCTTTTGTGTTGAGTTAAATGTATCTAGACTACATTGAGTATTTGTGCGTCGACTCGGTGTATTAAATATTGTGGTTGTGGTTGACAATCATTGCTAGTACAATGGAAGAGAAAGGAGTTGACAAGATTAATACTCTTGCATGCTTGAATGGATCATCTAAGAGTTGTAAAGAAGAGATTGTTGATGTTGTTTTGCTAGTTGTATTTGAATTTTTGTAGTTATTCTAAAGAAGGTGATATAGATTCTTCAAGATCTATAGGTCAATGTTGTAGTTGAGGTGGCCCTATGTTGGAATGTGAAGAAATAAGTGAAATTTTAAAATTATGAGTTTTTAGGATTATTTGTTTCTATAAATATAGTTTTAGTGGAAGAAGTGAAAGTAACAAGTTGGAAAAAGAAATCTTGAAAGATGTAGAAATATTTGTGGACGAGGAATATATATTGTTGGAAGCAATTAGAGAAATGAAAATGACACATTACTAAGATTTGGGATTCTTTACAACATCAAAAATGTTTCTTCATATATTATAAGACATTATTGAAGGAGTCCAAGTTCACATTGTCATGATGTAACATGACTAATAGGTGAAAAGAGTAAAGAAATTATTATATTATAAAAGATCTTACTTCAAATATTGTAGCAAATTATCTTAGAAAATAGACAATAGTCCAAAAGAAAGTAAAATTAAAGGTGTAAATGCTATCTTTTGCAAAGTAGGCTTCTACTTACTTTGTAAGGCCATAAATAAGGCAAAACAAGGTAGATTAGAAAAACAAAGGATATGAGCATCAGTAGGAAGAAGTTAGGAGTTAATTTTACAAAAATTAACTCAAAAGAGAAACATTTGATATTTAAAGAGGACTGGTTATCAACATGGATTGAAATCAGACCCCAAGGCACAAAATTGGACATCTACAATAACTATAAGATTTTTTTTGTAGATCAGAGAGTAATATATGAGAGAAAACTTGATAGGATTTCTTTGGGCATTAATTTTGAGTGATTTGAGTATGTAATGACTTTGTGAGAGCTTTACAAAGTCACAGTTATTTTGGGTGATTTTAGAATTTATGAAATAAAAAGGATATTACGTTTTGGAGAATTTTGTGAGTTTAGTAGTAGATCTATGGTTCAAATTTTAAGGACTTATGTGAATAGTTGTTTGAAGTGTATGCTATAAGTTTGAGCTTGATCGAATAGTTGAATTGAAGGTTATTGAAGTAGTTTGAGGTCTCAAAAATGAGACTTTGCAGGGCAGTTAGGATTTTTAAGATTTTCAGCAATCCACTAGTTAGATTGGAGTGAAATTTATGTGTGAGGGTTATGGACTTGATTTGCTACACATATGTAAAATTTGAGAATAATTGAACAATTAGTAAAGGAGATATTGGCATTAGAAGTTCAACATTTAGATTAGAGTAGGAGGCCGGCCAATATCCAAGTGAATTTTAGGATTTTTCTTTTATTTGGTAAGAGCGATTATCTTCAAATTTTGTGTGCTTGCCTTTAACTTGGTTGTTGAGAAGTGTGTAAAATTTTAAGTAAGTTCAATAGTATATTGATAGATATTGAGGTTCTAAATTGTATTAGGATTTGATTGAGTTAGTTAGGTTTTGGTTAGGGTTTGATTTAGGATTTAGGGTTGGAGTAGGGTTTAGGATTTGGTTTAGAAGTTGCTTAGGATTTAGGATTGGACTAGGATTTAGGATTTGATTTAGGATTTAGGATTTTCTTAAGATTTAGAATTTAGGATTTGGTCTAGGATTTGATTGAAGTCTATTAGGATTTTAGTATTTATTCATGTTTTAGTCAAATATGTAATTGTGCCTTTTTCATTTGTATAGGCAAGAAAAAAAATCAAAGATATGAATGTTTATTTGAGATTTTTAGTAAAGAAGCCTAAGAAACTTTAGGAAGTGAGAGCTCATGGAATAGACATGTCTATAAAAAAAGAGGCAAACTAACCATTTGTAATACATATTGTGCTCATGTGGACAATACACAACTTTCTTGGCTATGGAGTAGCTAGTAGTTTATAGACTTAGGAATTGTATAGATATCCACCTTGCGGTCTTTATAAAATGAATTTATATTCTTTTAATTATTTTAAGAAAACCATATACCATGGTTATAGGAAGTATCTCCCAAAATTGTAAGTTTAATAAAATGGATGAGCTTAGCTAAGGGCTTTCAAAGCAATGGAGGATTATAACTAGCTTTGCCAATAGAATAAGGTAGAAAAAAGAAAACTCAATATAAATGCAAGTAGAATAAAAAGATCATCAATTTTTTTAAATTGTCATACTAAATGGTAGATCTTTAGTTTGAACTTCATATATTACATCAAAATTATTTTCCATAAAATTTGTTTGACTCTTTATTATATATATATATATATATATATATATATGTATTGATTATTTTATTGTACCTTTACATAATGTATCAAAACACATCTTTTTATATTTTTTTGATGTAATACATATAGATTATTTTAATAATATTTAAGACAATAAAAAATACTTAAGATATAAATAGAAATTTTATTAAATAATAATTTAAAATAAAAGAAATAGGAACTATGCACAAAATATAGGCTATAAATTATGATATAAATAATGAAGGCAATATGGTATGTATTTTGGCTAGAATATTATGGATGTTAATTAAAAAAGGATATGAAAATATAGTAGATTTGATTAGATCTATCAAAACATCTAAAAAATATGGTTTTTTTTATTCTAATACAAGTTTCTAGAATACAAAATCTTAGGAATGAAGAATTATAACTATCATAACCTTTTCCATGATATTTTTCTTATTGCAATTAGAAGAATATTTACTTCTAATATTTGTAAGTTTGTGTATTTTTGGAAGTATTATTTTGATGGATATGCAACATGGAGATCAAAAAATATTATATTTAAGATATAATGGACATAGTAGAATTAATTTTTGTAATAGAAAAGTATTTGCTATCCAATTTTTTGACATTCAAATTAATAATATTATACACTTGTTAAAAGATGTGGATTTGATAGGACCAATCTATTATATGTAGATGTATTATTTGAAGCAATATATGAAAATAATAAAAAATAAGGTTAGATAAATGGCAGGACCAAAAGAGCCAATAGTCAAGGATTATGTTTTAGATGAAGGAATATATTATTTAATCAAATATACTACTAGACTATCTCTATAAATGAAGAAATTTTGGCAATTTTAAGATGTTCCTATACTTATAAGGCAAAGACTTCCAAAGATTTATGAAGTGAAGAAGTTGGATTGTGACTCTAAAGGACATATTTTTTTTAGTACAAATTTATTCACTTGTTTTAGGAAATAACAAGTGCATGACAAATTAGAGATCTACCTTTGATTTAAAAGATTCAATTGATTTATTTCTATTTGATAAGTGGATGTTAATTCAAATTTATATTTTTATTAATAAAAAAGAAAAGAAAGAAGAGATACATGTTTTAGACCATGAATACCACTTGACATTGAATTTCTATTAGAAAGTAAAGTTTTTCTTACATATGTGGATTAATAGAAAATTCTTAGGGATTCAAGGCAAAGAAGAGTTTAATAAGACTATCTAAGATTTTAGTACAATTTATTGGATCTTTTAAATGATCATATGTATCTAAATTTAATTTTATAGGTTTAATGGATTTTGTTGTTTTATCAAAGTACATCTAGAATCAATATAGAAATTTCTATTAATATTATTCTATTTTTTGTCTTTAAGTATTAGTTTCAATTTTTTGATAATAATTCAAATGAAGAGCCTTCATCTATCAAGTATTTTAGTCAAATTGAAAATATTGAAGTATACTATACTTTATTTAAGATAATCTTGTTGAAAGAGAAATGATATAATAGCAAATCAAGGTTTAGAAGTGCATCAAATGTAGTAATTGATGAATATAGATTCATGCATGTAAATAAAAATTTCTTTCTATTATCCCACTTATTAGAATTTGAATTTTTTATATATCAAAAAAATTATAATTATATATATATATATATATATATATCTATTTTTAAGATAGAATAAATAAAAGATAGAACTTTGTTTTGAAAAAAGAACCTAAG